ATTTGCACATTTCTTTACTTGTCATGATGTATCCTAAGTCAAAAATCTTCCTAAATGCAAATATTACTTCAGGACTTTAGAGCACTTTAAGGCTGTCTAGAAGACACCTAAGCTTTGACTCCATGCAAAAATTCTATCCTACCTCAGCACAGGCTCCCTTAGCACAGGCTTAGATTGGCTGGAGGCTCCTGAGTACCACCAGCCACCAGGGCCTTTGGCAATCACAAAGCAATGCATTTTGTGTTTAGACAAGTTGCTAGAATGTTTGAGGGTATTGCACGTCTGTTTTGTTAATTCATTGATAAGTCATTCTTCTGCTTTCTAGACTAATGGAATAAATCTATTTTCTTTTCTATGTAACAGCCTTTTCATGAATTTGAAATAGCTATTAGGTCACCAGCTAATCTTAAATCCTTTACCAAAAGAGCCTAAGTTCCTCAAAGCATTTCTTATATGAGATGGTTTCTAGAACTCTCATCCATTCTGAGTACTTCTCTGGAATTTTTAGAAAGTACATGAATGCTTCTTAATATAAAGTATTTTTCTGTTCTTATGAATGTCATTTTAAAACATTCAGATTCCATTTTATGTGCATTGCTGTAATGCCTGTCAACTTCCTCCATGTTGCATGACAATCTACAAAGATATAATAAAATTTCAAGTGTGATTAAAGTATTGTAGTTAAAATTATTCTAAGTACACTGGATAATCCAGCAACTCTGAAATTAACCACAAGCTGAGTGAAAAATACAATCTTAGGCCCTGGAGAATAATCATTAAGCATACGCTTCTTAAAACTGTTATTCCTTAACTCCAAATATTCATTTAGATGAAAATAATAGTACTATTTATGCATCTAATCAAAGTACTCAGACTTAGTCTTTATTAATGCATGTAACATCTACTCAGGTACCAGTGGCTCCTAATAAAATAAGATTTATTTTTGAGACAGAACCCACATGTATTTGATGTCCTAAGAATTAGAAATTTGACCAAAGTAGTGTCATCCCACACACCAAAGATTTCAACCAGTGAAGGCGTTGTCAAGTCTTGTGCTTTTTTTTATATTTATTCAAAACAAGCCAATTGAGTGCCTTTTTAATTTACAACCTTATTCTCATATTAGGTTCTTTCTTTGAATCCCTCCTTTCCAGCCTTTATGTAATGTCACTGATAAAATGTGGAAGGTTAATGGATTTCCACATCACTTATTTCCTCACCTGAAAGGAGAAGCAGATGTTTCACACCTGCTCATGTGTGCTGCTATAGCATGTTGTGCTGCTACAAGGGACCAAGGAGATTGGAAGTATATTACACAGGACCAGTGTCAGACGCTGCCAGGCTCAAGATGGAATCAGCTGGGTGTGTGGAGAGCAAACTCAATAGTACCTATTTTTGCACATTTGATAAAAGCAACTATGTCAGAACACTTTGATTCCAGATTTCACTATCTGCCACAGGCACACATTCCAGAGTAGAATTTGACCAAGTGTACTGATGAGATCTGGCAATCTCTATACATTGTGCAAAGAGCCCCATTGGCAGAAAGACTTACACTATTCATTTGGGCAGCTATGAAATCGGGAATCCTGCTGTCCATGTGTGAAGCTGGGAAGAAGCACAATGTGCAGTTGACAACACTTTACCCAGATGCCAGAGCAAGATTTGCCTTGTATTTTAGATTTCTCTTTCATGATGAGGATGATGCAAACACTCTGACCATCTGTTTCCACAAACAAATAACATGCTGCATGGATAAAAAGACACCCACACTGAACTATAGTTGACAGGCATTCTTTTGTTTTAAGTCTTCATGGGTTGTTTTTTTTTTTAAGTTGTTGTTCTGCTTTGAATCCAAGAATTGGACATAACTGGTTTCTTATCTTCATCAATAAGCTATTAATGAGGATTTATTTGGTAATTAAATGCTTATCCACAAATCAAATTAGGCTGAAATTAATGTATAAATATTCCAGGCTTGTCAAAACAGAGGCAGTGTTATTTTAGAAAGGCTTGGTAATATATAGAGATCTGGTAAGTTGCTAAGATCTACCTAGAATTAAATTAATACAAATGTTACGATGTTAAACAAAAATTCTTATTAGGAATGGACAAAAAGAACTATTGCAGAATAGTTGGTCATTCCATTGGTCCTAGCAGAAAATTTAATACTGAAAATGCAATACATATGCTGTAGCTTGAATGAGAGAAGAGGTATATGATGCATCTTACATCCATGTGGCTTTATAAGAAATGGCCTACCAGGCATAGTGGCTCACACCGATAATCCTAGCACTTTGGGAAGCTGGGGCAGGCAGATTGCTTGAGCTCAGGAGTTCAAGACCAGCCTGTGCAACATGGCAAAACTCCATTTCTACAAAAAATACAAAAATTAACCAGGTGTGGTGGCTCACACCTGTAGTTCCAGTGACCCATGAAGTAAGAGGATCACTTTAGCCCAGCAGGTCAAGGCTGCAATGAGCCATGATCATGCCACTGCACTCCACATTCTAGCCTGGGTGACAGAGTGAAACCATGTCTAAAAAAAAAAAAAAAAAAAAAAAAAAAATCCACCATAACCAATAAAAGCCTTTAAGAAATGGTATTCAGATTCTACCTGTTTTACATTCACGATTTTTTTTCTGATTGTTAGTCATATTTCATGTTCTTTATCAATCTTAATTTTCTTTTAGGCTAAGTGCTCCTAAAAACACGTGAGAATACAATGATTCATAACATTTTTCTTGGTCCAGACTCCTTTGGGAAGCCCATGATAACTCTGGATCCTCTCTATGTAATAAAAGGTATATATAATATATGGCTTTAAGGATTTCAAGCCAAAAATGCAATAAACATCCATGGCCAGCAATTAAGAATTCTGCTTCTAAATATCATATAGTAATTGTCCAAGTATTTGTGTATATGAAAAAGGATTAGGCTTCCACTTTCACAGACAGCAAAACAAAATGGCAATTTGTCAGAGATCTGATCTATATGATTTTTGTTTTGATTGGGTAAAGAAAAATGGAAAAATATGACTTGATTCAAACAAATAACACAAACAGATCCTACTCTCCTATTTTCATCAAAAGCTTGTTAGTACAAAATGACATATTGAAAGCGGTATTTTTTTATTCTGAAATCTGTTGGATACTGATAAACTCATTAGTGTACCACATGTGCCTGTACAGAAGGGTCCCTATCCTACAACTTTTCAATATTTTACCTAAACATAATCTTTACACACAGATTTCAAGGATGTGATTATATTTAGACCTTTGTATCCCAAGTAAATTGAGGAATTGTGTTTTTCTTTTTCATTGAAACGTAACAAAAACATAGCCAGTACTGTGTTTTCTATTGTCTAGCCAAAAATACTACAATTCCAAAATAAAAGTAGACAGGAGATGCACAATGAAGAAAAGCGTCTTAGGAAATTGGAGAATTTAAGCTTTCTTAGTCTTAAACTTTTAAAAACTTTAAGTAGTAATTCAATTTTACGATTTCCTTTATTCCTGAAACTTGTTCCTGAAAAGCTTAATACCTTGAAAGATTTTTAGATGGATCTTAGAAATGTTCATATTAAAGGACTGTTACAGTGAAAACTTGTGTAAAGCGATCATCCCCTGATTTATCACTTCAGTAAATCCAAATTTTCAATACTGGGTTTGCTTAAATCTTTATAATGTATAACAAGAAAATAAGAGTGATGATTTGGGCCTCCATTTTAATATTCTAAGCACAAGGCATACAATTAAAAATAAGTTGGAAACTGGATAATGAATAACCAGTAAATTGTATTTGTTCTTATTTCTTTTCTGCTTCTATGTTTTCTTTTAATATTAAGTAATTTACTTTCTCTAAAATTTTCTCTATAATCCAAATATTTACAGGTAAGTTGATTATTCTCTGGGTAAATTACAATTTAACCTATATTAATTGGAAATTGTATTCATAGGCTTGAAAGGAAAAAATTAATTTCTGTACTGTAAATAAAGCTAGTACATGTTAGTTTGTGTTGTTTCTTCAGAAAAAAATTTCACAACTTAAAGATGGGCAAGCCAAGAACAAAAATTTGCTTTCATAGAAATGGAGAATGCGTGTGCTAAAATAATGTCAATCACATCATTTTCCCTATACTTTTCTGAATTTTATGATGTATCAACTTCAGCCCAAAATTATGAATACTTTAGCAAAACATGCCTTCTGAATGATGAATTCTTATTCTCAGCTTTGCCAATATCAGAAAGAAATATATCTTGTGAACTCTTCATTGTATAATACACCAACTTCAATTACAGTCATGTGCTGCATAAAGATGTCTCCGTCAATAACAGACTGCATAAAAGAGGGTAGTCTCGTGAGATTATAACAACATATTTCAAACCGTACCTTTTCCCTTATGTTTACATACACAGACTGACCGACTGACCATTGTGTTAGAATTGCTTAAGGCATTTTGTACAGTAACATACTGCACAGGTTTGTAGCATAGGAGCCTGTTGTTGTTTACAGACTGATTTTCAGTCCTATTAGTGGATCATCATTATCTTCACTCAACAGATAAGCAACCAAGATACTGAAAAGTTAATTCATTTGCCTATAGCAATAGGGTCAGCTCTCCTAATATTAGACTGCAGAAGATTTGAAGATATACTGCATAGCCTGGGTGTGCGGTAGGCTATAATATCAGGATTCGTATAATATACGTATACTTTATGATGTTTGTACGATGACTAAGTCACCCAACAATGCATTTTTCAGAATATATCTCTGTCATTAAATAGCATATGACCATATTTTTTTCATTGGCCTGAAGGTGGGCTGCAGGTTAATTCTTCCTGCATAAAGTCCTGCTTTGTTTAGCAGAAGTCCCAGGGGAGGTGTTCATGAGAAAACTATTCTAAAAAACAAGCAGCATCTTTGTAGCTCAGGTTGTCAAATATAACTGGGTCAAGAGTGGCATACATTCTTCTATCTATGTGAATTTGTTTTCACAGACAAACTCTCCAAGAAAAATTCCTCTGGAAATCTGACAACAAACCCTGACCCTAAAAATGCAGCAGAACCAACCAGAACAATGCCGGAGGAGAAGGAAGTGGACCCTGAGAAAGAAGGTCCAAACAGGTGAACATTTAGTAAAACACATAACACATGTTAGAGATATTGCTCAGCCTGCCTTAAGAAGCTCAAATATCCATTCTCCCCTTTAGTTGTATATAAAGGCAGAAAAAAAATCAATATTCACATAATATAAGAGAACTGTATCATAACCAAAAGGTTGGTTGTGTCCACTTCATCGTACCTCACTGGCCAGGCATGGCCATTAACCAGTATCTCTAGGCAGCCATTTGGCTATAGGCCAAATCACAACAACAAAAACATTGCTATTCATACACATAACATTATGTGTATGAATCACTGTATCATCATGGAAACAGCCTATGTATTTACTAAGCATGAATTTTAAAAAGAAATGATGAAAATTTTTTAAGTTCACAAAGAAATAGCTATTCCAATTCTGTAAATATTTTATTGTTTCCAAAGATTGATTATGACTTCCTTTTATCTACTAAAGAAAGTGTGGCATGCTAACCAGGAATAATTACAGAACTGGAATATCTTTATGCCGCTGAAGAAACACACCTTTATAAATACTTCTCATAAAATTATTGGAAATGCCACAAATAAGATGACAATTTAAATGTGAATATTAAATCTGCAACAAATCCCAAAGAGGTCCTTCATTTTGCCACTTCTTCGCATAGTACTATGTACCTGCTGATTCAGTTTGAATGGCTTAACTCTAGTTGATATAACTGCAATATGTTTATGAAACCATAAAAGCACATTCTTATTTAATAGACAAAAAGAGTTGTCACTTATAAAGAAGTTAAAAGTACCTATTCGTCCATCCCACCCCACTCCACCCCACCCCACCTTCTCTCTCAGCAGTGCCTCTACTGTGTTAAACTATCTGCTGTCAGTAGGAGTCATCATGATTATCTAGGACCCAGGAAATTGCTGAATAAACAATTGACATCAGAAAGAAAGAATGCTTTTTCAATAAGCACAAATTTGCCTATATGAAAATAATAAACACAAGCTCATTCTACCACACACATACACACAGATATACACACATGTGCACATAAACACAATGTTACTTGACAAAAATAAAACTTGACATATTATTTTGGCAGAGAGACATTTAAATTCTGAGGTAAGGACTAGAATCTAACAACAGGAAAAGTCATTATTTATATTATAACTATTGTTGTTTACAGAATGATTTACAGTCCTGTTAGTGGATCGTTATTATCTTCATTCAACAGATAAGCAACCCAAGACACTGAAAGGTTAATTCATTTGCTTATAATAGTGTCAGCTCTCCTAATATTAGACTTCAAAAGATTTGAATTCCCAAAGAGAACTTTTACCTCCCTCACATCAATACACTCCTAGCCTTCTAAACTAATCGCCCTTACTAGCATTAATTTTAATATGTTTATTTTTTGTAATAACCCATGGAAATTAATAGATTTCCAAAGGAGTGAAGTTGAAGCCATAATTTTTTGGCACATAAAGTCTTCTTAATTCATACTCATTCCTGGTCTGTCTTTCTTTCTTTCTTTGTTTCTTTTTCTTTTTCTTTCTTTTTTCTTTCTTTCTCAACAGAGTCTTGCTCTGTCACCAAGGATGGAGTGCAGTGGCCCGATCTCGGCTCACTGCAACCTCTACCCCCTGGGTTCAAGCAATTCTCCGGCCTCAGGTTCCCGAGCAGCTGGAACTACAGGCATGCACCACCACGCCCAGCTAATTTTTTGTATTTTTAGTAAAGACAGGGTTTCACTGTGTTAGCTAGGATGGTCTCAATCTCCTCACATCATAATCTGCCCACCTTGACCTCCCAAAGTGCTGGGATTACAGGCATAAGCCACAGCACCTGGCCCCATTCCTAGTATTTCTTATACTCTTCTGAAATGTGGAAGTGGAAACCTTTCAACTAACCAGAAGTGGGGGTCAAGCCCCATAGCTCAAAAACACAAAACTTCTTGACATGCCCTCTAAGGCCCTGCTTGGTCTGTCTCTCACCTGATTTTACTTTGTCCTGTCCCAGCATGCAACTTTCCATCCTCTCTGCTCCAGTTACACTTATTCTATTTCAGTCTCTTGTATTTGTCATGTTCCCTCCTGCTGCAGACTTTCGCAAATGGTACTTCCTCTGCTTGTTCTATTCTTTCCTCCCCAGTTACCTAATTAAATTCTACTCATTCTTCATCTAAGAGTATGATCATTACTTCCTTTGGAAGGCTTTCCCTGATCTTCCTAACTAGATCATGTGCCCCTATTATAAGATCTTTTTCACAGCATATATTGCTGATGCATTTTATATGATTATTGGCCTGAAAAACCCATCAGTCTCATTCTCTACATTGTGTGCTTCATGATGGCAGGGGCCATGTCTGTTTTTGTTGATGATTAGTATCCCCAGTACCTACATCAATAATGCCTAGCACATGGTAAATACTCAATAAATATTTAACAAATGAATTAATTCATTGATCCAAACATATGGGTTTACTTGAACTTCTAGATTTTCCAAACTGTATGGCTTCTTCAGGAGGAAAGAGCAAGATACAAGTGGCTCTCCAAGTCTTCCCATTCTTTCCTGCTCAGAATTTTTGATAAGAGCAAGAATAACCAGTAGCAGATTACAAAGATAATGAGGAAAAAAACGTGAGGCTATAAAGCTCTCAATTCCTTACTTCTCTTCTAACATGGCTTTTTGTCACTATCACTATCCTGAGATGACAAAAGTATTAAATCTAGAACACCTTTTTTATGGTTACACGTGCAGTTTGATTGTACAGATAAATTGCATGTTGCAAGGGTTGGATGTACATATTATTTCATGAGCCAGGAAATAAGCACAGTATGCAATAGGTAGTTTTTTGACCCTCAGCCTCCTCCTTCCCTCCATCCTCAGTAAGCCCTGATGTCTATTGCTTCCTCCTTTGTGTCCTTGTATGCTTAGTGTTTAGCTTCCACTTGTAAGTGAGAACATGTAGTGTCCGGTTTTCTGTTCCTATGTTAGTTCACTTAGGATAATGCCCTCAAGCTCCACCCATGTTGCTGCAAACGACATGATCTTGTCAGAACACATTTCAGTGTCTTCCTGGCTGCAATATAGATAGCAAAGTGGTTTGAGAAGGATTAACAAACTGAGTAGACCCAAGTTAGCTTAAAGTTCTTGCTTTGTTATTAGATGGTTGTTCACACATTTTCTCAGGATTGGGTGAAAACCAGTTGCACTGAAGGGACAACATGAAAGGGGCTCTAGAAGCTCCAGTATCACATTTGACTAAAATCAATGGGAATCTTAACATTCAGTAACATATAGAACTGACCAAAGCTTTCTGTTCTGATCTCATGGGCAACAATACCACATCTACAATCCTAGAGACAGAGTTATTATACATCATAGGAAAATACCAATGATATAACAATTATTGAAATTATTACTGCCGGGCGCGGTGGCTCAAGCCTGTAATCCCAGCACTTTGGGAGGCCAAGGCGGGTAGATCACGAGGTCGAGAGATCGAGACCATCCTGGTCAACATGGTGAAACCCCATCTCTACTAAAAATACAAAAACTAGCTGGTCGTGGTGGCGCATGCCTGTAATCCTAGCTACATAGGAGGCTGAGGCAGGAGAATTGCCTGAACCCAGGAGGCAGAGGTTGCGGTGAGCCGAGATTGCGCCATTGCACTCCAGCCTGGGTAACAAGAGCGAAACTCCGTCTCAAAAAAAAAAAAAAAGAAAGAAATTATTACTTCACAATGCTTTTGATGAGTAAAAGATAACCTTTGCATTTTCAGTTGTTAAATATCAGCATCTTTAATCTTGGGCAAGATCAGGTTTTAAAAAGCTCTTTCTCTTAAAAAAAAATTATTTGATTGATTGCATGAACTAAATATACATGCTGTGCAAGTGACTAGTTGTCACCTCAATTTTTAAACTTGGAAAATTTAAAATAAGGTTTCTTATTCTAAGTGCAATTACCTTATCTTCTTGCCTAAGCCTTGAGCTGAATAGGGATTAATATGTCTAAACTGATCAATAAGTACTAGGGAGAATGCATAGTGTGGATCTTGCTGTCTGTGTGTGAGAAGTACAGTGTGATATTATTGATTACACCTTTAGTTTCTGTCCTGCTTAAAAGATGGGCAGAAGTGAATACCAAGTGGAGCAGAGACGTAGAGATTATTACGTGTATCTGTTAGGGTTCTCCAGAGAAATAGAACCAACAGCATATATACATATATAGGGAAAGAAATTTATTATAAGGAATTGACTCGTGCAGTTATGGAGGCTGAGAAGTCCCAAGATCTGCAGTCAGTAAGCTAGAGACCCAGGAAAGCCAATGACGTAGTTCCAATATAATTCTGAAAGCCTGAGAACCAAGAGTCAGTGGTCTAAGTTCCAGCCCAAAAAGCCAGGAAACTTAAGGCCCAACAGGAAACAATGTTTCAGTTTGAATCTGAAGTCAGAAAAAGACCAATGTCCAAGCTCAAACAATCAGGCAGGAGTGTCCTCTTTCTCTCAGGAGAGTCAACGTCTTTGCTCTATGCAGGCTTTCAGCTGACTGAATGAGGTCCACCCGCATTAGGAAAAGCAATCTGCTTTGCTCAGTCTACTGGTCCAAATGTTAATATCATCCAAAATATCCTCAAAGACACACCCAGAATAACATTTGACCAAATATCTGGGCACCTTGTGGCTCAGTCAAGTTGACACATCTCCATTATGTACATAAAGGAATTGAAACTGTATAGGTCCCACTCTTCACCCTGCAAAGCAAACAATTCATTATCTTGTCAAATGAAACACTTAGCTTTTGAAAGACACAGGGTTCACCCCTGGGAAGTCCCACTGATGTTATTTGCTCATTACCAAGAAAAACAGCTTATTTCTGGCACTTTGTCTCAGACTAGCCTTATTTTTTAATATAAAAAATATATTTTGATAGACGCTAATGAATAGCAAGCAAAAGATGTGTTTTGCCTGGAAATGTCAAATAGCCATCTTGGAAGAAAGGACACAGAGTTGAATGGCTGGTAGGT